CAATTGCTCATTGCTCGTACATAGTAAAGTGACTGACTCGTATGGTAATTTTGTATCCTTCAACCTTGCTTATTGGTTCACATTTTTGGTCAGATCTTTGAGATTTTCTACACAGATGTTCATCTGCAAACAAAGACAGTTTTATTTCTTTCATCTCAATCTGTGTACCTTTAATTTCCTTTTCTCATCTTATTGCATTAGCTAGGACTTCCAGTATGATGTTGAAAGGCAATGGTGGGGGAAACATCTTTACCTTGTTTCTGATCTCAGTGGGAGGGCTTCCAGGCTCTCATCACGAAGTAGATGTTAGCTGTAGGTTTTCTGGAGATATTCTTTATCAATTTGAGGAAGTTCCCCTCTTCCTAGTTTACTGAGTTTCTACCATGAATGGGAGCTCAGTTTCATCAAATGCTACTACTGTAATATGCTGCACACACTGCGGTGATCGTGGTGCTCAGGGTTCCGCAAGCCCCCACCGTGTGGAGACACATCTAGGTCTCCTGCCTTGCCTTGCCTGAGTATGTCTCATCCCAATGGGACACCTCTGGAAACCAGAACTGGCAGTCACCCCAGGGCCACTGCGTCAGCCTCTGGCCAGTGTGACAGCTGCACTCCACTCACCTCCTTCTACTCCACATGAGAACTGTGACAAGGAAACCTGTCCTCAAATGTCAATCCACCCCTCCCTGGTCCTGGGAATCACCTCTTACCCAGCTAGATTTCATGTTCAGCAGGAAGCCAGCACAGCTCAATTTAATCTTGAATCTGGTAAAAAATGGTCCTGAAAATAAGCAGCCTGTCTTCTTGCCCAAGGCAAGGTTCCCAAAGCAAAAGCCAGAATTGGACAACTACACAGCAAGGATAAAGGGCCTCTCTGCATCCACAGAGCCAACGGGACACACGACAGCAGGCCCGTCTCCAGCACACCCAAGTCTGTTCCCAGCCGAGCTGCTGGGATGGACCCAGCTGAGGACAAGCTCTTCTGTACCTGCCAGGAGAGGCATGTCCTGAAATCTCAACCCCCTCAGCAGGCAGGAGGCACGGGTAAGGAGTCACCTGCCCGCCACCCAAAGCCCACATCTGGGTACCCAGCAGGAGCTGGCCTTAAGCCACACACAGCCACTTTGGATGTTAAGCCTCAAGTCATGCTGAGGCTGGAGACCCCAGGACATGTTGCGGGGTGGGTGCTAACCTGAGTAAAGGTTAAATGATCCCTTTATTTTCCAGAAATAAAAAATTTTCTAGCAGACCTCAAGTCTAGAAACATGGAACTTAACACTCAGGTCTTCAAATATAAAAGATATCCCATAGTAGATTACTCTCACAAAAAGGTTTGTCTTTATAACTGGCAAGAATAAATTACCTAACTGAATATATAAAATTTAAAGATGCTCAAAGAATGAGCAGGCCCCAAGGCGAGAAGCATTTACATATCATTTCAAGGGGCAGGAACTCTCCCATTAGTCACTGGTGCAGACAACTCTTAGCAGGTTGTTTGCGGGGGGTGGCGGTGGTGCTAGGCTGAATTCAGGAGACTTCCAGAGACAGAAAGATTGGGAGACGGGCTGATGAGGAAGAACGAGTTATTCTGGGGGTCAGAGATGGAGCTGCTGGGAGGCAGGCAGGGGGTGCAGGATGCGTTCAGATCCTGGAGGGAGAGGTGGGGAGGGCACAGGGAAGTGGCCAGAGGAGACACATGCCCTCAGGATTTCTTTGAACGGAAAATGACTGACAACTCAGGTGTAACTTTTTTAGCCATTCAACAAGCATTTAACAAATACGGACTAAATGCACCCACTGTTTAGTGGAAAAGAGCAGAACAGACGATCAGCACTGTCTGTATGTAAGAAGCAGGACAGCTCTGGGAGCCCCCTGCCAGGTCAGGCTGTCCGGATCCGGACCCAGGTCCTGGCCCATGAGTGCTCAGAAGTCTGTGCCTGGGAGAATGACCATCGGATCTGAGGGGGGTCTTGTCCCTGTCCAGGGCACCGGCCACACACTGTGCCTCTGTGGGTGGACACACAGATGCTATGCTGGAGAGGACAAATCACCCTGCCTCCCGCGATTACTGGTGGCTAGGCTGGGCAAGAGGTAAACACCAGTGTCACACGCAGAACTGATTCCAAAGTCCTTGTGTTGTTTATGACAAGGGGACCAAGCAGCTAGCTGCTAGTGCTGCGGGACTGGGGGATGCAGCGGGATCCCTCCCCGAGCCGGTCGGAGGGGACAAGGGCACTTGGCAGCAGCACTGCAGCAGGGGCGGAGGCTCTGCAGCCACAGCCCCTCCTTCGGCTCTCTCCCTCTGACCTCAGGGCCTTTGCACAAGCTGTTCCCGTCGTCAGGATGCTGGGACCCCCTCCCACGGCCTATGTCCCTAGATCAAACTTCCAGTTACTTCTCACCCCCAACTAGGGAGCAAAACTGCGCGGCTGAGCACGCCCCCCCCCCACGGGAGAGGGCGTGTGGGGCCCCTCCGGGGTCGGCCCCCCCCCGGCCCGCAGCCACCCGCCCGGGCCCACCTGGAGAAGGGCGTGGGGCCGGCGCCCTTGAGCTGCAGCTCCCAGCGCTCGCCGGCGGCCGTGCACACCTCGCCCAGGTACATGGCGGCGCCGTCGCCCAGCTGCCCCGCGAACTGGCCGAACTGGTGGCCGCAGTAGCAGTGCGCGGCGGGCTCGGCGCCCGGCAGCAGCGCGTTGCCGCTGAAGAAGAGCGCGGCCTCGGCCTCGCGCGCCTCGCGGGCGGCGGCGTCGGCGGCGGCGGGCGGCGCGCCCAGGCCCAGCAGCGCCAGCGCGGGCTCCGACAGCGCCACGAGGCGCGGCTGGCGCAGCGGCGCGGGCCGCACGCGGCTGAAGCAGGCCCCCGGCACGGGCCGCGGCGAGGACGGGGCGCCCTCGGGGCCGGCGGGCGGCGTCTCCACGGGCAGCGCGCGCAGGGCGCGGTTGTCGAAGCGCAGCCCCGCCAGCCAGCGGGGCGCCGGCTCCATGGCAGCGCCGCGGACAGCGGCCGAGGCAGAGCAGGGCGCGTGCGGCGGACGGTGGCCCAGCGGCGGCGACCGGACACGGGCGGCCGCGAGCAAAGCCCTCACCGCGGCCCCGAGCGCGGCCATCCGCGGCGCCGCTGCGGCGGAAGCCCCTCTGCCCCGACCGGAAGCCCCGGCGCGCGTGCCCAGCCACCCAATCGCCTGCGGTGGCGTCTGCTCGTGCGCCGGCGCGGGCCACGCCCGCGAAGGCCTGACTCTGATTGGCTGCGCCGTGCGTCTGTCCGCTCCTGCGGTTCGGCCCCGCCCAGTCCGGGCGGGGAAGGAGGACTTGGCCCCCTGCGACGCCGGTGGGGCCTGCGGCTGGCCGAGTGGACCCGGGAGCGGGGGAACCGGGCCGTCTAGAATGACTGGCCTGCGTAACGAGCCAGCAGGTCCCTGGAGGCCCGACCCGGGAAAGACCGGACAGTCGGGGCTGAGAGCTCCGAGTGTGGTGACCGCGCTCAGTGACGTCCCTGGTAGACCACCAGGGCTGCCTCTCCACTCCGGGGTGAAGCCAGGGTCAGCCCGGGCCCCGTGCTGTGCCAGGGCCTGTCTCTGGATTGTCCTCGGCTGCGCCGGGCAGCGGAGCAGAAGGGAAAGAGGAGGTTTGTTCAGCTCGGGTCGAGGGTCAGTGTCCGTGGGACAGGCCAGGAAGAGCCCCAGGACGAAGCCCAGGCTGAGATTGGGCAGCGCCCCGGCCAGGCGCCTCCCCAGTGCAGAAGCACCTTTGCTCCCGCTCTGCCTCTGCTTGGGGCAGGAGTCCTCACGTGTCCTGGCTCCCGTGCCCACCCTGCCCAGGCCTCTCCTAAAGTGCCTCCGGGAACCCTGTGTTTTCCTTGCATAGCACTTCCCCGAAACGAACTCATTCCCTCATTTTCCTGTTTCTTCCGTGTCTCTCTCCTCACCCGTGCTCTAGGAGGGCACGGAGTCTTGATGATGTGTGTGTCAGTTCTCCCAGAATAGAGCCTGGCCAAGAGAAACTCCCCATAGATTGTCCAGGAGGTTAGGGAGAGCCAAGCCTGGCCTTGAAGCGTCTGCCCCAGAGAAGTCGGGGGTGACTGTTGCAGATAAGTAACTCCGATGTTCAGCTCAGAGGAGCCTGGAAAAGACCCCCGTGATGCCTGCATGGAGTAGGTCCTTGGAAGGGCTTCCTAACCCCCTCCCCCACCTGGCCCCATACTAAAGCCCAAGACCAGGAGCTGTGCGGGAGACCCCAGACAAGCACACAAGCTCCCTCCTGGATGGATTCTACACTTAAGTTCCAGCAGCCTCTTCTGGAACCTTCTCCTGGGGCCACAATGTGGGCTTCCCAGACTTCATGAGAACCATCTGTGCCCCTGCCAGCTGTGACACTGGGGAGCCCCTCAACCTCTCCAGCTCAGGGTCGTCATCCCTGAGAGGGACAAGGACACTACCTTCTGTGTGGGGGACAATGTGGTTAGGTCCCTGCAGGTGCTCGGAGCCCCAGCGTCTCCTCCTGCAGCCTGCCTTTCCCTTCCACCAGAGCCTCACCTGGGGCCCTGTCCACTTGGCCTGCTATCAGAATCCCCTATTGCCAGCCTCCTTCCTAACTGCCTAGGGGGCCCGGCCTGAGCCTACTGTCACCGCTCCCCCCTCCCCCAGGTCCCAGGCCCTTCTGACCCCTCTCCTTGCTCCCTCACCCCACTCTCTTACCCACACCTTGGAATCTGGTGGGATTGGGTTCTTGAAGGCTCAAGAGTACCAGGCCCTGTGTCCTGCTGGCTGCCCTCACAGAGGTCACAGCCAGTGGGGGCTCTGGTGGGTGCCAAGGGTTCCAGGAGGTCAGCACCAAGGGGTAGTGCTTTCCCAGACCTGGTGACCTTGCTTCTGGCCTAAACGTTGGGCTGCACAGCCTCCTGGATGGACAGGCCTCCCGGGTGCGCCGGGTCCGAGCAGCCAGGCTGGGTCAGAGCTGAGCTCGACCCCTCCCCCGTCCTGGCACCAAGGAAGACACAGCGGACAGCCGGGCTTGAACATTTAATGAGGCTCGGCCACGGACGGGCGGGGGCCTAGGCCTTGCGGGAAGCAGTGGTGCGCACGCGCAGCACGCTGGCGCGCAGGGCGGGCTGGTGGTCGCCCGCGGCCCAGCGCATGCCGGAGGCGGCCCCCGCGTGCTCCGGCCATGGCCCATTGAGGTCCGCGTGGCCGCAGGCGCTGTACCACCATCCGGCTCCCGAGCGATCGTGGCTGCAGCTGGTGAAGGTCCGGGCGCGATCCGTACAAGGCGTGCAGTGGTCATGGTCGCGGTCCAGCGTGCTGAAGCCACAGCCCTCCTGGTTGTCCGTCTGGCCCATGCCCCGGAACGCGTCCCCTGCGCCGGTGTGGTGGCGTGGGCGGCGGGCTAGCTGCCCCTCAGGCCCCCGCTCGCGGCCTTGCCATCTGGGACCCCAGATGGGGAGGGACAGTCTTCCCCAGAGCACAGAGGCTGGCAGATGTGGGCCGGAAAGTAGGGGGCTCCAGGGACCCAACCTCCCCCACCTACCCTGGCCTGCTGCAAGAGTCCCCCCTCCTGCAGCCTGGAGAGCCCAGGGGCAAAGCAGGACGCTTGGGGGCAGGCACAGGGGTTCCTTACCTCCCCAGCACTCACCTGCGTTCCCCGAGTACAGGCCGAGGGTCAGCTGGTAAAACTGGTCCTCCTTGTCCACGTGGAAGTTATCATAGTGGGCCTGAAGTGTGTGGTTGTCCGTGTCCAGGAGATCCACCACCAGCTCTGAGCGCAGGCCCGGCTGGGAGGTCAGGCCAGAGATGTGCTCCAGCCCCAGCCAGTGGTCACCTGCAGGAGTGGGGCACCCGGGCAGAGGCTACTGTGTGACGGGCCCCCCCTAGCCTCCTCCCGCCATCTCTCTCCTATGTCCCCGGTGGGGGTCAGGGCCTTGGGGTGCTGGCTACACCCCTGTGCCCCACGGGCAGCACAGTCCTACCTCTTAGGTCTCCGAAGCCTCGTTTGTACTCCTGCCAGCACCTCTCAAAGTCCAGGGGCCTCCGCCGGCCCCGGTCTCGGCTCTGAATCACCGTCCAGCCACCGTCCGTGCGCATGTCACAGAGAACCTGGGGAATGGGCCAGCCCGTGGCGGCCCGAGAGGGCCAGGCTGGATGCAAGCAGGCCTGCCCCTCTCCTGCCCATCCTCCCTTGAACACTTTGCATTTGAAAACTGAAACTTTGTTTTTCTACTTGTCAGTGTCATATAAACTTGCATCACATTAAATTCACTTTCTCAGAAAAAGGGTCAAACTTGGCAGTGAGGTCACAGGCCCCCAGGAGGGCTGCTCAGTTTGATGTCATTCTGCACCCTGCTTTGTTTTTTCACTTAATGTTGTCTCCTGGGCTCTTTCTTTGTTCATACCCTTCGAGGTGGGAGCCTAGGTTTCTCCCAGCCTTTCCTGACTGTAACACAACGTCCGTGAACACCTCTGTGCCCAGGTGTGTCTGAGGACGGACTCCACCAGCAGCGCCTGGCCTGGCTGGCCCTTCTCCTGCTAGGTGGACAGTGCCATCCCTTGTTTTTTGTCCAAGTGACACACACACTACCCCCGGACGCTCGCTGCGGGCTGCTCACCTTGAAGGGGGCGCTGGCTCCCTCTGGCTGGATGGTGTACACACCACTGCGGGCCCTGGGGCTCTCCACCCAGATATGAGAGCAGTCCCTCCCTGTGGGGGATACGGCCAGGAAGGCTCAGGGCCTGGAGAGGGGCCATGCCCTCTTGGTGACCGGAACCAGAACCCTCCTCCTGCAGACGCCCTGTGACAATCTGGTGGATGATTTACGACCTTGGTCCTGGTGGGTGGGCGGCCACAGTCCCCTCACCTTGGGCCATACCTGTCTCTGGCCTCTTCGGAAATGGCTGTGCCTTGGGCTCTGCCAATTTGCTGGTCCCCCAGCCCTCGGCCAGACCCTCGATTCTTCCCGAGGCCCCTGGACACCACCTCACGCCCTCACCTGCTGCCCTTGGAAGGTCAGTCTTGGCTTCCCTACCTTCCTCCTCCTGGCCTGGCAGTGGTCTGAGGGCTACCCCAAGTGCAGCCGGCGTTAGGAGAGAATACAGTGGGGCCTGGTCCTTGCCTGCCCTCCCCCCCAGGCTGTTCTGGGCAGGGACCCGGCCAGGTCCTCATGGGGGGTGAGACCTGCTGGGTGGGGACCTATGGGTGACAGGTGGGAGGCTGTCCGGCTTAGGCCCACCTGGCAGGCCCCTCCCTCTGCCCCCCCCACCCAGCCAGACCTTGGGGTTCCAGAAGCACCACCGGCACCTGTGGAGAGAGGACCCGGGTGAGAGTCAGGCTCAGTAGCTCTGGGAGTCCCCAGCTCATCGCAGGCTAGTGAGACCCGTTGGCCTGACGGCCGCTCTTACCAGCTGTCGATACTGCACCATGGAGCTGGCCTGGGGCGCAGAGAGGAAGAGGAGAGCGGCAAGACCCAGCACAGGGCAGGCAGCCATGCTTCCTGAGGGTGCAGACATGGTGGGTGGAGAGCCCAGCCCAAGGCCCTGCCAGCCTCCCTTCACGCCCCCCCGGGTGCTCACTCTTGTCTTTCTGGGCAGAGCCGAGCCCCTGGTCCCCAGCACCTTTTGTGCGGGCACTGGGCTCACCCCGCCTCCTCCCTGCCCAGGGGCCGGGCGGGGAGCCTGAGGGTGTGGACAGGGAGGTGAGGGCCGGGGCGCTCCTCTGAGCACACTTCCCCTTGGCGGGTGTCCTCGCTGGGCCCGGCGGGCACCTCCTGCCCGAGCCCTTGAGTCCCACTTCCACACATTTCACAAAACAGGAGCTTCCAAAATTAGACTTTATTTCAGTTCCTAAGGAATGCGTACACGCGCCTCTGTGACAGGAAGATCACGGCCCAGTCCAGTTCACGGCCGTGGGTTTCACCTGGTTTCGTCAGACACCGAGTCAGCACAAGCACAATTGGGCAGGACCCCGGGCCCAGGGGGCGCGTACAGACTCCGCGTCACAGACACATGACCAGGAGCGGCAACGACACACATGGGCGACACCGGGGTGGACACCCCGAGTGGGGCCACGGGATGGTGGCCGGCACCCGCCGGCATGTGTACCAACTGGGGGGCCCTGGCGGACACGCGCCCTCTGTCTGCTGAGGGCGCAGCACAGGGAGCAGGTGCGATCCTCCTTGGCCGGGGGGAGGCTCAGGCCCGGGGGGGCCGCAGCCCCGGACGCCCCGCAGCCAGGGGCTGCCCGAGGGGGCAGCTGGGGGGGACAGCGTCCAGAGGCCGGCCAGGCCCGCTGCTAAAGCCAACCCTTCCCCCAGGCTCGCCGGCTCAGGGCTGAGTGCCCCCCACCCCCCACCACCAACACATCCTCTTTGTCCCAATCAGATTTAAGGCTAGTATTTCCTGACACTGGCTTCAGTTTGTTTTAAGTTAAAGTTACCTGAGTAAAAAAAATTCAGACATTTTTAAAAGCCAAAACCGCACCACTTCTGCAAGCAGAGCGGCTACCAAGCTCGGCCCAGCTGCCCTGTCGGGAGGCGGGCTCCCAGGAGCCGCACGAGGGCCGCTCCGGCCCCTCCCCAACGCGCCGGCGGGAACCCCACGGCCCAGAACCCACCGTGAGTCGCTCCCGGCCGGGGCCCGCCGCCAGCGCAAGACAAGGCACAGTGAGGTAGGGGAGGGCTGGCCGTGCCCACCTCGGCCCCTCCCCCACCAGCTCGTCCTGATGCCCGTGAACCCCGTGAACCCCAGGAGTGGTCCCTGCAGGGCTGGGGATGGGGGTGGGGGCGGGGCTGCTGGGAAGCCTGAGCTCAGAGCAGTTAAATAATTCTTTATTTGGGCGGGTTGGGGGAGGGCAGGCGTGGCTGGGCCTGGACCCCCACGGGGGGTGGCGCCCAGAGCTCCTCGGGGTGGGGGTGGGGGTGGGGGGCCCGCCCCAGTGCCTCTCAGCTGCTGCGACTCAGCAGCCGCCGCGCCGCCAAGTTCGTCCTTCCTATTTGTGCGGCCGGGCCGTGGACGCCCTCTGCAGACAGTACTGAGTGACAGGCAGCGACAGGACCAGGCTGGTGGCGCGACGTCCCATCCAGTAGAGGCCGTAGCCCAGCAGGCCCAAGAAGGCGGCCTTCACTGCCAGCCGGGACACTCTGCCGGAGATGGACGGCGGGGGGACGCTGGGGAAGGGAGGGAGGGCTGGGCCTGGCTCGGATGGGGGGGGACACATGCGCCCCCCAGCCCCAGCATGGCTGCCGCCCCCTCCCCAGGCCCCGCTCTGTGCTGGGGGACGGCGCGGCATGGGCGGGTGGGCGGTACTCACGTCATGATCTCCTGGATGTTGAGGTCCGTGGTCCAGTTCTTCTCGATGCCCGGGACGTGACCCATGCCCACGACACCCACCACGACGGAGGGGACGCACTTCCTGGGCTCAGCTGTGGGGGAAGCGACGCGTCAGCAGTGGCCTGGTGGTGCTGGTGCCCGGAGGACCCCCGCCCGGGCCGGCCGTCGCGGTCACCGTCGGAGGAGCGTGGCAGCTCGAGGCGCCGGGCGGCCTGCCTCAGCATGTAGGTCAGGTAGATGTCACGCTCTGAGACGATGGTGCGGTGCAGGTCGGGAAACTCGCCGATCATCTCCGCCATCATCTGCTCCAGCAGGTCCTTCTGCTTGCAGCGCTCCACGTCATCCTTGCTGGGGGCAGAGGGCACGCTGCCAGCCTCGTGGGGACGGGGCGGCCAGCAGGAGGCTGGTGCTGTTGACCCAGGGCAGGGACCTCCGCACCCTTTGTGTTTGGGCTCACGGCGGAAGGAAGGGGCGGGAAGGCCTTGTTTGAGGAGGCTTAGCCCAAGAACAAGGGGGCCGTGCTGCACGGTGAGCCCCAGGCCACTCTTCCTGGGTGGGGCTGCCCGCGGGAGGCTGAGGGGCCCTACCTGATGGGGTCTGACAGGAAGCACAGGCCCCAGGCCAGCTTCACCTTCTGCCAGAAGGACAGCGCCGCGATGGCCCTCTTGAAGGTGACGGGGATGGGCCGGTCGCCCAGGTGGAACTTGCAGAAAGGCACCTTGCTGGCCTGGGGCAGAGGCTGGGTGTTGGCTGGGGAAGCCCGAGCCCCGGGCAGCTGCCCAGGCGCTGAGCCCCCTTCCCGGCTGAACCCAGACCCACCTCCTTGAAAGCCTCCCTGAACTCGCCGCCAGGAGCCATGCCCAGCTGCTCGGTGATGTGGGCCGACACCTTCAGCAGCAACATCTGCATGAGTCCGGACATGACCCCGTTCTGCAGGGGAGGGAGCCGCCGGTCAGCGGCCACGTGGACGCTGAGCACAGCCTTCCTCAAACGCGAGGGGAGGCCCCGCCTGCGTTCCGGGACTGAGCAAGGGCCGTGGACGGGCCGCCACGTCCCAGCGGATGCCCCTCCCCTCCTGCCCCTCCAGCCCAGACCCCACTCCTCTGCCCACGTCCCCCTGAGGGGCACATGTCGTGCTGGGCTGGCGGGGACTCTGAGACCACCCCTCTGCCCTTTGCCGAGCTCCTTGGGTCCCTGTCCACGTCCTCCCTGGGGGCTGAAGCCCACCCACCTTACCTCCCTTGTCTGAAACCCAATAAAGGCATGCCCCTCTCCCGCCCGGGGCCTCCGCACCGCCTGGAAGGCCGCGTGCTCACAGGTGGGCAGAGCAGGGGGCGTGGCCGCCTGGGGAGGGGGCTCAGCCCGCGCCCGCCCGACACCGCACCTGCCTCACGGCTTGCTGCAGCTTCTCCAGGCTCAGCTCCTTGGCCTCCTGCAGCAGCGTGCTCTCGTCCATCTTCAGCATGGACACACGGTACTGGCACAGCTCCACCACCACCACGTCGGGCTGCACCTCCCGGATGGTCTGCAACGGACCAGCCGGCTCAGGCCGGCGCCCCGCCCCCAGCGCCGACCCCGACGAGCGGCGTCCCCGGCGCCCCGCCCCCGCGCTGACCCCGACGAGTGGTGTCCCCAGGGGCGGGCGCCCCAGCGCCGACCCCGACGAGCGGCGTCCCCAGGGGCCGCCTCAGCTGCCGTGGCGACAGCGACACAACAGAAAGCGCACGAGGCCACGAGGGCTCTGTGGCCTCAGAAACCCCTTTGCTGAGGGCACTGGAGTCACGCAGGAGGCGGCAGCTCAGGCGACGGGGCCGCTCAGCCTGAGGCCAGCCCCGCGTGATGGGCCTCACCTTCACCACGTCCTTCTTGCTGTCGTCACTGAAGTGAGCGGTGCCCACCACGTACACCCGGCTCCCGTCCTCAGCCACCAGCTCGGTCACCGTGCGCGGCAGGCTGGGCCGCTCTCGCCTCCTCCTCAGCTTCATCTCCAGGAGCAGGGTCAGCGCGTCCGCGTCGGCTGCAAGGACAGCGGCTCAGCTGGGGTGCCATGCACACCGGTGGCCTGGGCTTCCGGTCCTCAGGGCTGAGCCACACCCGGGGCCCAGATGCGCACAGGGGCATGCGCGCCCGAGCAGCACCGCCCACGGGGGTCCCTCCCAGCTGCGACGTGCCCGTCCCTGCTCACTACGGTGTGCAGCTGGGCACGGCACCGTCTGACGAGACCCTCCCTATGGAAGGGGTCCTGGGCCTCGGGAAGCTCTGCATCCTCCACGAGGGGGAGCCCCCAGCCGCCACGGCCCCCATGGCATCCCTGAAGCACTCAGACCCCCACCCCAGGGAAGGGGCTCCTGATGGAGCTCCCCCAACCCTCTTGTGCTCCAGGGCCTCCTCCCCAACAACTGGGGCTGGCCCGGGCCACTGGTCGTCAGACTCAGACCACCCAGTCCGAGCCCCTTCGGCCAGGGAGCTGCCCCTGCCCCCCCAGCCCTGAACGATCTCAGCACGCACACAGGTTCTGGGATTCTCCAGAAAGCACCCTGGGCACCACCTCTGAGGCCCCCACTGCCACAACAGGTTCGATGCCGGCCTGCAGAGGGAAGGGAACGTTTGAGTGGGGATGCCCACCCTCCCTGGGGCCCGCCTGGGCTCAGGGCACCCACTTGCCCCCGGTGGGGCCCACTGAGGACTCGGGCCACTGCTCCACCAACTCCGCATGCTCCCCAGCAATCAAAGCCTGTCTGTGATCATCGCCTTGTGTGCAGCCCACCCCCAGGGCTCCCTGCCCCAAGGTCCCCCCTGGCTGACCCTCTGGGCAGGAAAACCACACAAAGCTCTCCTATAGAAGCAGCCAGAGTGATCCCAGGTGGCCACACGGAGGGGGGCCCCACACTCTGCTGACCAGCTAGCTGGACCCTGAGCCCGAGGTCGTACAGGAAGCAGGCCCCCCACACCCCAGCATCTGGCCCAGGCCTCTGACCTCCTGAGGTGGCTGGCCCTGCTCCTCCTCCCCCTCCATGGCTGGGTAGCGGCTCCTGGCACCGATGAGTGAAGCCTGAGGAGACAGAGGAACCATGTTCGCACCTGGAACCCCAGGGCCGTGCCCAGGGCTCAGTCTGTTTTGAAAGATCCGTGGGCGGGATGACAGGCTCTGCACTCCCAGACAGATCGTCACCTGTCCATCACCAGCTATGGAGGTCCAGGGTCCCTGTGACCGGGCACAGTAGGTGTGGGACCTGTAAACCCTGCACCACGGGGCTAAGAACAGGGCTGGGGACGCCTGGCTTTGCCCCAGCTGGTGAACTGGGGGTCCTCTGTGTCACCAGGGACAGACAACTGCCAAAGACAACGGACCATTCAGACCTCCAGGGCCAAGGGGAATCAGGGGCCCGAGACCTCTGTCAGGCCGTGGGATTCTGGACACCGGAAGGGCCGGCAGCACTGACAATGCAGACTTCACCCATGCTTCCCCAAGATGCCACAGGGAAACTCAGCCCCGAGTCTGAGAGCAGGGTGGCCGGCACAGCGTGGGAGAGCAGCTTGAAATGAGGAGCCCCTGGAGAAGTCTGACGCGTGACTGCAGGCTGTCACTCCAACTGGTCTGAAGCTGTGGTGTGGTATCGTGTTTGGTTCTGGAGTCTACCTCTGTCCATGGGCACCAGGGGATGGAATGACGGGGAGTGGCGCGGTGGGGAGCAATGCTCGCAGGCCTCACTTCAGTGTCACCCTCGCACTGCCCTTCTCAACGTTCCACAGTAAGGAAGGAAGGGCACGTGGTGAAGTAAGACACTGCGTCAGGTTCCTTTCCCCTCTGAGCACCGCGATCCCAGCTCCCCCCCCAAGCCCGTTTCCTCCTCAGCAGCAGGAGGGACCCATCCCCTGCGCAGGCAGCTCAGAGATGGGGTGGGGCTCCCTTCCAGTTTAACCAAATGCCTCATCTGGTGTCCAGGGACACTCGGACAGGCCTTGGAGCTGACCGGGGTGGGATGGGCAGCCCATCCTGAGGATGGCCAGGTTTCTGAAAGAAATACAGTCACAGTAAGGGTCAGAAAGAGGAACTGGCTTAGGGCCAAAGGAAGCAGCTAGGTCCTGATGGGAGGCTGGCCAGCAGAGAAGGGTGGCTGGGGAGGGGAAAGAGGGCCCGGACTTCTAAGCGCTCCTCCCAGAATACCTCCTGTCCAGGATCCCCAAAGCCCCGTCTTCCCGCTTTACAGATTAAAGCACTCCACCAATGCAAGATGCCAACTAAGTACAAACAGGAAGCGGTGCCTGAAGCCAGAGGGTGGGGCTGAACGGTCAGGGGAGCTGGGCCTGCCCCTCCTCAGGCTCCTGAGCTGGCCCAGGGGGGCAGCTGGAGATGCCGGTCCTTAGCCCAGCTTTACACAAAAAAGCAAACAGTTCTTACTTCCAAGCAGCACAAGGCTGCCAAAGTACCAGAAAAACTTCTTAAGAAAACATCCTGTGCTCTGGCAGGGAAGCTCCTACTAACAACAGCAAATGGGAGGTCACCACGTTGTCGCCACAGCCTTCCCTCCCACGGGTGTGGTGGTGGCAGGTCTGGGGCGTGGTGGCCCTCACCCACCCTGGGGCAGTGTGGCCAGACCGGCCCCACCGTGCACAGGCGGGGGGGGGGGGGGGAGGAGGGGGGCACCTTTCTGGGTGTGCCCTTCTGGGTCCTGCCTCCTGTGGGCTGGGGGTATGTGGGTGGCAGACGAGCCTGTCAGGCCTAAAGCCCAGCCTTGAGCCTGTTAAGTGCCAGGACCCGGGTCCCCTGGAGCTCTCTGTCCCACTCCCTGCAGCTGCTCCCCAGGGATGCGTGCCTGGTCTAGTCAAGCAGGAGGGCCACTGAGGGCCACCCCTTCAGCCCGAGTCCGTGATTCTGAGAAGCCTCTTTCTCTGATGCTGCCGCCTCCACACTTTCCAATACCCTGGTTTCTCTCAAACTCAGAGCTGGGGTCCCCTGGCAATACCCTTGTAGAATGTCACTTCAGTGGGTTGTAAATTTCAAATATTTATGGCTGGGGCCTGAGCCTTTCCCAGCTGCCAGGTGGGAAGCAAAGGCCCCACAGACCTCCGAGCCCAGGCCCCACCTCTCTGCACCCACTAGTGGCTGCCAGGGAGCGTCCACATCCCTCCTGGTTTCCTGCCACACACTCTCTGGATCTACAGGTCCCAGCAGTTCCTCACACCACTGCATGCTGCAGTGACAAGCAGAGCCCTGGCTGACACCCTCGAGGGGAGACAAATGTGCCCCTTCCTAAATCCATACCCCAGTGTGTAGCCCTGCTACTGGGCCACGGTCCAGCCACCAGTGCTGGGGGTCTCTGGAACCTGGCACAAAGCGGGAAGAGCCTTCTGCCAGATGCAGAGGCTACCCACTCCCTCCGACCAGCTGTCACTGCCAAGCAGGGCTGTCCACCGGGATGACCCGTGGGCAGATGGCTCAACTGTGCTGCAGGGGATGGCCTGGGTTTGGCCAGATCTCAGACCAGCCACCTGGTGCTGCATGGCCCCGGGCAGGACCCTCCAACCTGCTGGGACTCTTAGCTCCTCCTCTAGGATCGGGGTGGTTAGAGCCGTCACCCAGACGTCCCATCCGTCTGCACACAGTAGGCCCTCTCCCAGCTAAAGACGTGTGCCACACGGAGATTTCACTTCAGCTTATAACCTATAGACCTCTGTGGGCTTCCTCCTGTGTGGGCAGGAGCAAACCCCATGGGGCACAAAAGAACCAGCAGTCTGGTTTCAGGGGACAATGGAACACGAGTCTTCCTTGGCCATCTCCTTATCTGTAGAGGGACACACCATGATCTGGCTCTGGGAATCATAATGCTGCACATAGAGGACAGCAGGAGAATCACCGCAAGCTTTCAGGAAAACAAACTCCAAAGTGGTGGGAATTCCCAACAGCCCCAGGAGGACCCACCCTGCCCAGTACTCCAGGAAAAGCGCCTGCTCAAAGGACAGGAAAAGCCCCACTTACACTAGGGACCCACCTGGGGTGTACAGCCCTGAGATACAAATCAGAGTAACACGTTAAACTGTTCTGCATTGGATGACGTTATTAGCATCTGAAAATGTTTTGCTGGGTGTCCGTTTCAGGACAGAAGCAGAGGACATCAGACAGTTCAGTGGGAGTGGCAGACCCAGGTTCCTGCTTGCCCAGCCCAGGCAGGGGAGGGTCCCATTGCTATGCACTGAACTGCGTCCCCCAAAATTCATATACTGAAGCCCTAATCCCCAGGATGATGGTGTTTGGAGGTGGGGCCTTCGGGACTAAGGTTACGTGAAGTCATGAGGGTGGGGCCCCATGATGGTATTAGGGCCCTTATGAGAAGAGACACCAGAGCTCTGGCTGTGTGAGAACACAGTGGGAAGACAGCCATCGGCAAGCCAGGAAGAAAAAGCCCTCATCAGCAACCACCCTTGATCTCGGATTTCCAGTCTCCAGAGTTGTGAAAAAACAGTCTGCTATTTAAGCCCCATCTCTGCTGTTCATTATGGCTGCAGAGCAGGCTGAGACACCCACCTCTGCCCCCCTCGCCCCTCTAAAAACTGGAAAGCCACAAACTGCCTCCCAGATCCCAGACTGGCTTCTCAGTGCGGCCAAGACCCGACCAGCACCAAATGGAGTTCCCAGAAAAGCCTGCATCTCCCAACCAACCCACCAGGCTTGCTCAGAAAGTCAGAGGTCCCAATCTGGACAGACCGGTGGGCTGTAGAAATAACTGTCCAGCCGGGAGATGGCAGGATGTTGCCAAAGCCCTGACCTCCTCAATGCCCCCACTTCTTAAGCCTGGGCACCCTTGGCCACTTGAGACCCCCCTGAGTCTGGCAGCACCTGCTTTATGGAGGCGTGGCAAAGTTTGGGTTTGGGATTGGGATAGAGGACATACGCCCACTTGTATCTGGGCTGGAGGCCTGAATGGCTCCTTTTCCAGCTCACCTGACTGACCCTCCTGGAGCCCGGACATGGGGCCCATTGCCGGGCCCCCACACTGACCAGCACTGCAGGGCGCTGTGTAGGGGTCTGGCTCCTCACCCTACCAGGCTCTCTCCGGGCAGGCTCAGACACCATAGCATCATGGCCATTCTGCAAGACTGACCAGTGGTCCCAGGGTCAAGGGTCCCTTCCAGTCATGCTGCAAGGGGGTGAGCAGGAGCCAAAGGGGCGGCAAGAGACCCAGAGAGAGCTGAGCCTGCCCAGGAGTGCAGTGAGCCTGGTGGCCGCACATCTCCCTCTCCAGGGCACCCCAAAAGCCAGTGGGATTCCACCTGGAAACCACCCATTCTCCTAACGAAGCTGTCCTGATCCCCAAAGGTGGCAAGGACTTGTGAGCGGAGTTCCCAGTTGTTTTTGAGGCCGATGCCAAGGCGGCCTTGCCTCTCCGGGGAGGGTTGTTACAGACTCTCATACGCGGTACTTTGTGGCACAGAAGTTACACCTCCATGCGGCTGCTTCGTGGAAACAAAGTGGAGACTGTTGCAGGCCTCTGAAGTTCGGCTGCGCGCACACCGGGGGAGACCTCCGCTCCACTCTGCCATATGGCAGCCCTACTCGCTCGGCTTGAAGGGCAGAGGCCACCGGCACTCGGGAAGGGCCCGGGTCTCCGCCGCGAGAGGCCCGCGGCCCCGGCCCGCCCCACCCGAGCCCTCAAGCCCTCTCCCCCGCCCCCTTCCCCTCGAGCCCTGGCCGCCGACCCGGCCCCGCGCGCCCTCCTTACAGGCCCGGGCTGACCCTTCCAGCCTCAGACCCCGCGCTAGGGGCTGCCTGGGCCCGGTCCAGAGCGAGGTGGCCCCCGACCCCGACCCGACCCCGACCCCTGCCTGTCAGCCGGGGCCCGCGCCGCGCAGCGTACCGAGGCGGGGCGGCGCTCCTCAACCGGCCTCCATGCGGCTGGTCGCCCCACCGGACGGGGCGGACCGGGGCCGGGACCGGGGGCGGAGCGGCCGGACGGGCCGGGGCCGGGGGCGGGCGGCGCGCGGCATGCCGGGAAGCGCAGTTCCACGCGCCGCCCGTCCGCTCCGTCGGCGCGCTCCGTCCGCGCCGCCGGACTACACTTCCCAGGGAGCTGCGCGCGAGCGCCCGCGGACTACACTTCCCAGGGGCCGTGCGCGAGCGCCCGAGGACTACACTTCCCAGGGGGCCGCGCAGAAAAAGCCCCGCCCCGCCCCGCCCCGCCCCGCTCCGACACGGGCGCCTCTGGTTCTAGGAGGAAGGAGGAGATTCTGGACGCGTGAGTTCGAGTCCCCGGGCCTGTGGGGGAGCCCGGCGGCCTTGCAGAGCGCTCTTAAATTCTCTGACCGCAGCTCCCGGTCTGTAAAAGGGATGATGTTCCCACGATGTCCACGGAGAGACTTTGTGTCAGTCGCCCAAGGGGCAGCCCACGGTGGGATGGGAGGAGCAAAAAACTCGGTTGTGGAGCAAGCCCACGTGGCTCGACCTGGGTTGGGGCTGCCTAGACTCCCGCGCGCCGGCGACCGGGCCATCCCTCGACTTGGTGGGTGGAGTCCCCTGGGAGGGCAGGCCCCAGGGGTCCTGCTGCCTACCAGGCTGAGACCTGGACCCCAAGCCCCGGAGCGGTGCCTGATGGGCGGTCTCAGGACGGGCGGACCCCGGTGAGCCTGGAGCCACCGACCCACTGCCGCGGAGGGGCCCCAACCGCCATGTCTCTGGCCCCTCGTCGTCCTTATTTGGTCGAGTGGGCGGTGGGGCGTGGGAGGCGGACTCCCAGCAGGGTGTCCCGAGGCCACCCCCCCTTCTCCCCACGTGGAGCGCCCCCGGCCGCCCACCCCCACTGCCTGGGCCCGGGAGGGGGCCTGGGGGCTGCTGCCCTAGCCTGGGCCCTCCTCCCTCCTCGCAGGGTGGTTCTGGGGCTGGGCACCCTGCAGCTGGTGGATGTGGGGACGGCTTGCCTGCTGACCACACGCGGACCCCCAGTCAGCCCCACGGAAGCTTGTGTCCAGCCCAGGGCCGTGGGAGGACTGGCTGGCTGGGGGCCTCAGTAGCCGGAGCAGGCTGCCTGGCCCTCAGTCTGGAGCTACTTGGGAGTGAAGACACAGTCCAGTCCAGCCCCCACTGGGCCTGGACCTGCTGGGCCAACACACCAGCACTCGGAGCTGGGCACTGGGCCGCCCCTCAGGTTCCAGGAAGAGAGGCCCTGGCATTGGTGACTTGTAGGGGTCACAGGTTCCCGTGTCTTTGGAGGGGTGGTCCTGGGGTCCAGCTGATGTGGGAGATAATCCCCCGGCCACTCTTGGTACCAGGCTGGGCTGTTTGCCCGCTGAGCTCTGTATACAGGAGACTCCAGGCTGACGCTTCTGGGCCAGGCTTGCCGGCCACCTGCCTCCTACGGCTTCTTGGTCCCTGAAGGGCCCGGCTGGCCTCAGGGAGGCCTCTGTCCTCCTTGGTACGTGCTCCTCCTGTCCAGTTACTGTTCTGTCCCTCTGTGCCGGCTCAGGTCGTTTCTGCATCCCAACCACCTTGGCTACCTTCTCAGGAGCACACAGTGCCGGGCAGTGTGCGGTGGGGCCTGGAGCGAGTCTGGCTGCCAGGCCCATGCTGTGCCGGCGTGGCAGGAAGAGACCTGGGTTCCGGTCTTGCCTGTGTGGGAGCCTCTTCTTTTCTGAGGCGGGGACAGTTGCCCCCGGCCGCTGCAATGCCCAGGCTACAAGGAAGGGGTGAGGAGACGAGAGGTGGGTGGGGGGCTTCAGACCAACACTGGAGCTGATGGGGCGCGCTCCTGCACTAGTGGGGTAAGGTGGCGGCCCTCGGCACCTGCAGGGAGAGCTTGGCTTCTATGGGACGATGACTTGGGCCCTTCTCTTCCCCAGCAAACCAGGGCAGGGGTTCAGCTCACGCTGAGGGCACTGCGTGTGCTCCGAAGGACGGGCCTCTGCGGGATGCGACTTGCTCTGCAGTCCTACCGGGCGTTGGCCCCGGGGACAGGTGGCTGATAGCCTGGCAGAGCAGTCTCCCCAAAGACACAGAGGTGGCTGCGCTGGGCGCCTCCTCGGCGGGTGTGCGCCAGCCGTACGTAGACGTGTGTGTGTGTGAACATCGCTCAGCCAGCAGTACTGGTGTTCACTGGCAGAGGGAGGGTGCCCGAGACCGGCCTGCTGCACAGCCCGGGTAGCGCACGCCTCTGCAGGGCTCTGGGGCCATCTCCACTTTGAGAGAGTCCCCGGGGCAGGGGCAGGGATGACCCGGGCAGGGCCCAGCTGAGCTGTGCACGTGGATGGGCAGGGTGGGCAGGGGAGTGTGGCCTTGGATGGCTGGGGAGGCACGGCAAGAGCTGCTGACTTGAGTCGCCCAGGTGGGCACAGCTACCCTGCTCACAGGGTCATGGAGCCGGTTGATGGTGTGGGACCAAGGTAGGGGGGAGCTGCTGAGGGACCAGGGGCTTGTCCCCACCCTGCAGAACTGGTCCTGTGGGCATGTGGGGTCCCTTCCCTGGACACGTGGAAATGGTGAGTGCCAACCCAAGGGGCAGTGGGCTTCACAGCCTGGGATGCTGGGCAGGAAGTGTCCTGGCTCAGGTGAGGCCAAGTGCTCTCTGGGGACAGGGTGTATTAATGATGCCTTTTTATTTTCTGATATTTTGACATTGGGCCAAGTTGACCCTGGAAGGTCGGCCCCTCCCAGGACTAATTCCTAGAAACAACAAACTCCCATGTACAAACCAGCCGACCCAGAGCCCCGGCCCCCCACCCCCTCTGTGGGGCTCCCACCCTCGGCGCCTCCCTCACCTGCTCCCACCACCCAGGGCAGGTGCCCGACAACCAGGGGAGCCCGGGAACCCGTGGTCGGTATTCACGCAGGCCAGTCCTAAGCCTGTTTACCTGCCTTGTCCGTTCCTTCCTGCGGAAACCACAGGAATGGCTCCTGCCCTTGTCCCCCTCCCGCTCTGCCTGCTGGTGCTTCCCCCAGCGGCCCCCAGCCTGGGCACAGCGTGCCCCTTCCTCCTGGGGGCTGTGAGTGATAAGCTATCTTCCCGATGGCGGCTGTCTCCTGGTCGCAGGCCTCAGCACACCTGAGTGATGATAAAACCACATTTTAAAATCCGTGGAAGGGGCGCCTGGGTGGCTCAGTCGTTAAGCGTCTGCCTTCGGCTCAGGTCATGATCCCGGGGTCCTGGGATCGAGCCCCGCGTCGGGCTCCCTGCTCGGCGGGAAGCCTGCTTCTCCCTCTCCCACTCCCCCTGCTTGTGTTCCTGCTCTCGCTCTCTCTCTCTCCGTCAAATAAATAAAATCTATAAAAAAAAAAAAGCCATGGAGGGATGTGGTCCCTTGTCTGTGTCCCTGTATGACGCACCAGCTCCAGGGAAGGTCAGCCTGCCCAGCTCAAAGCTGCCCCGGGGATTCCAGGTGCCGGGCGGGGCAGGTCTCTGGGCAGCACAGCAAGTGGGCTCACGCCGGTCTCAGCCACGGCCCCCCCCCCCGCCACCCTAGGGCCCACAGGTTTCTGGCCTGGCTGCCTCAGCTACCTGGCTCCGAGGAGCCTCTGTTCAGATTCTCGGGGTCCCCAACCATGGACCGAAGGGCATGTGGCTCCATGGTGTACCCGTAAGACTAGACTCATCCCATCTGAGTCGTGGGCCCAGTGAGGAAGGCCCCCTGCCCTGGGTCCCTGGAACATGAGGGGCACCCCCAGGCCGTATCAAGGGGACCTCTTCCGGGAAGATTTCGTGGCTCTCCCTGTTCCCCTAAGTGTACCCAACAGGCCCCTGTCCCCAAGCATCTGATGGAGGGGACAGCCTCCTGGGGGCTCCTGCCTTTGCCTCTGCTGAGCCTGTGAGCCCAGGGAGGGCAGGGCTCACCTGAACTGGCCCCCAGGCCTGGAGAGCATGGCTGTCGGTCAGAGGTCACGGAAGGTCAACGGCAAGGGACCACCGCGTGCTCCTGCCTCACGGTGGGTGCAGCCGGGCCCCCAGGGTGGCCTGGAGGGCAGCGTCCCCGCATGCTGACGGTGGGTGGAGGGCGGCAAGCCCAGTCAGAGCACAGGCCTCCTGCAGGGCGGACCACACGGGACTCAGGCGGTATCAGAATAATATTTATTGATCTGCTCGGTGCTACCTTAATGCTGTCACGTGTCGCCGTGGCTGAGGTAATAGGGACAGAGCCTCCGAGCGCCGGCCCTGGGTGCCCATGGGAAGCAGCGTGGGTCCTCGGGTGGGGGGACGTGGTTATTGCGTCGGACTCCTTCCCTTGCATGCCGGCGTCCACACCAACTCAGCTCCGTGCCCACTCACAGCCCGTGCGTCCACGCCGGTGCCCACACCGCTCTGCTCACTGCTCGCCCGCTCGCGCCCGCTCACGCACACATCCACTTGCACGCCGTGCCCTCGTCCTCTCCCTCACGCGCCCACGCACACGCCGTCCTGTCTCCTGATAACGCACACTCAGTAGTTACAGTAATCCTAGTAAAATAAAGTACAGGTATGTCGGGATACAAGGAGAAAGTGCATGTTGATCTGATGGAGGGTGGACCCCGGCACCTCCCACTGCAGGAGGGAGCCCTGAGCACGGCTCCTTGGGCATAGCCGGGCCTGGCGGTATGATCACCCCCGGCTTCCTTCCAGGCTCAGGACCAAAGTTGTCCTGCCTCAGCCTGGACCCAAGGCAAAATCGACTAAAAAAATAGACTCTTCACCTCCCGGCCGAGTGCCTGATGCAGGGATGGGGGGTGGGGGTGGGGGCGGCTGCAGGCCTTCCTGGCTGGGGGCTCCGCTGGGGTCAAGGCCAGCCCCTGGCCCAACCAGCACCCCAACGATGCTGTCTTGGGGGGCGGGCGGGCCAGGTGCTCAGCCCCGTGGCATGCGGACAGGAGGCCAGGAGGTGCGGGCAGTGCTGGGTGAAGCAGAGACCACATCCCCGTGGGGCTGGAGTCCGCGGCACTCCTTGGTCATGCGGAGGGCTGTGTAATGGCCCGGGCAGCCCTGTTCCTCAGAACTCCACAGTACTCACTACT